GGAACACCATTGGTGATGTACGTAGCAACTAAATATGTAAACCTGTAGGTTCCAAACATTAAAGTTAATAAAGAAAAATTAGAGCGCCACACGCGCCCCACGATGTAATACATCGGGGATAGTTAAAAAAAAAAAGAAATACAACAAACATATGAGTTAGCCAATCATATAGAACAGATTAAAAAAGAATTTAAATTGAAAAAAACCAAAAATATATTGAAATATGCATATATTTTAAGACTATATGCATAATATTTTCTAAAAAAATAGTTATAGAGGTTTATAAAGAATTGAATTACTTAAGTATACTTCAAATTTTAACATAATACTTCAACTATTTGAAGTTTTTTTCTATATAAAAAGTGCCTAACTCAAATTTCATCCTACAAGTAAATATGGTTTTTATTCTGATTAAAAGTATTTGTTTTTAGAAAATAGCTATAGTTTATAAAAATATAAAAACATTATAGTAATCAGCAATTGTAGAATAGAATTTTATCCTATTAGCAGATTTTTTTTTTTATTCTTCTTATAAATTAGTTTTGGTTCCTTTTTATTAGTTTTATTTTACTTCTTATTTTCATTTTTCTCTTCTTTAATTTTAAAATCATTTTTTTTTTTTTTTGTTTTTCTTTTTATTATGAGAAGATGTCTTTAGATTAGTAGTATCCTATTGTAGAATGAAGGTTAGATAAGTCATAATTTTTAGTTTTAACTAGATTAGTATAGCAGGTCACATTTAGATACTATTTGAGTAGTTAAATAATGATAGACTTATAAGTTAAATGATATTTTATATTTATATATATGGGCAGTCAAAAGTAGAAACTGCTAAATTTGGTAGATTGTTAATTTTGAAATAATTAGATAAACATAACTTTGTTATATAAGATATAACTAGTCTAAAAATAGCATAATCCAGTTATTAACTTGTTCCATTATAACTATAATTTGAATTTCTATATGTGAACTGAAATGTTAATTTTAATTTTTTTAGGTTGTCGCTTTATGTCTTTATGTTAACATCTTTTGCTTTCAATAGTAGTTTTTTTGTTGATTAATGTGTTTTCTTTGATTTTTTTTTAGGTTATCACTTTTGTGATAATGTTTTTTATTTTTAATAGAGGTTCTTCTTTAATATAATTTTATTTATTTAATTAATGAGGTTTGTTTTATTATTTTGCAGTGATTCTTTCTAGATTCTTAAGTTCTCTGATTCTTTTTGAAATGTTCTTCTGCCAATTTTTGAAGATTTTTGGTTATTTCTGGCTTTTTTGGTGGCTTTTGAAGGTTCTTTTGATGACTTTTTGAAGATTTTTTCTAGATTCTTGTTATTTCTGATATTATTTGGTGGCTTTTGGAGATTTATTTGCCAACTTTTTGGTGTTTCTTTTTGGATTATTGGTACTTCTGATGTTTTTGAGTTTTTGAAGATTCTTCTGACAACTTTTAGAGATTCTTTCTAAATTCTTGATACTTCTAATGTTTTTTGGCTTTTGAAGGTTTTTCTGATAACCTTTTGGTATTTTTTTCTGAATTCTTGATATTTCTGGCACTTTTTTGGTGACTTTTAGTAATTTTTTATGAATTTTTGGTGCTTCCAATATTTTTTGGTAGTTTTTGAAGTTCTTTTAATAACTTTTTTAATGTTTCTTTCTGAATTCTTGGTACTTTCAGCATTTTTTAGAGTTTTTTTGAAGATGCTTTTGATAATTTTTGGAGTTTCTTTCTGAATTCTTAGTATTTCTAGTGTTTTTTGGAATTTTTTTGAAGGTTTTTCTGATAATTTTTGAAGGTTCTTTCTGGATTTTTGATACATCTAGCATTTTTTGGTAACTTTTGAAGGTTCTTCTAATTATCTTTTGATATTTTTTTCTGGATTCATAATATTTTTAGTATTTTTGGAGGTTTTCTTGATAATTTTTTGGTATTTATTCAGAATATTTGGCACTTTTAGCAGTTTTTAGAGATTCTTCTAATGGTTTTTTGGAAGTTTTTTCTGAATTCTTAGTATTTCTGTCATTATTTGGAGGTTCTTCTAATGACTTTTTGGTATTTCTTTCTAGATTCTTGGTACTTTCAGCATTTTTGAATGGCTTTTAGAGTTCTTTTAACAACTTTTTTTAGTGTTTCTTTTTGGATTTTTGATACTTTTAGCTTTTTTAAAGTTTTTTTGAAGGTGCTTTTGATGACTTTTGGAGTTTTTTAGTACTTTCAGCATTTTTTGGTAGCTTTTGGAGTTTTTCTAACAACTTTTGAAGGTTCTTTCTAGATTCTTGGTATTTTTAGCATTCTTTGGTGGCTTTTGGCATTCTTTTGATACTTTTTTGGTATTTCTTTCTGAATTCTTGATACTTTCGACATTTTTTAGAGTTTTTTTGAAGGTGCTTCTGATGACTTTTGGAGTTTCTTGGTATTTCTAGCATTTTTAAACAGCTTTTGGAGTTCTTCTAACAACTTTTGAAGGTTCTTTCTGGATTCTTGGTACTTTCAGTGTTTTTTGAAGTTTTTTTGAAGATGCTTCTAATGACTTTTAAAGTTTTTTTGGTATTTCTAGCATTTTAGAGCAGCTTTTAGAGTTCTTCTGATGACTTTTGGAGGTTCTTTCTGGATTTTTGTACTTCCAATATTTTTTGGTAGCTTTTGGTATTCTTTTGATGACTTTTTTAGTGTTTCTTTCTGAATTCTTAATATTTTTAACATTTTTTGAAGTTTTTTTGAAGGTCTTTTTAATGAATTTGAAGATTCTTTCTGGATTTTTGATACTTCTGATGTTTTTTTGAAGTTTTTTTAAAGATTTTTCTAACAACTTTTGGAGGTTCTTTCTGAATTCTTGACATTTCTGGTATTTTTTAGTGGCTTTTGGCATTCTTTTAATGACCTTTTGGTGGTTCTTTCTGGATTCTTAATACTTCTAGCATTTTTTAGTGACTTTTGGAGTTTCTTTGATTTCTTTTTGGATTTCTGATAATTTTAGCATTATTTGGAGGTTCTTCTGATGACTTTTTGGTGTTTTTTTCTAGATTCTTGGAATGATACAATTTGAATGTCACTTAAACTACCATTTAAACTATCATTTAACACTATTATATAATTTTACAGACATGTGTTTTCACAAAGTTATTTGATAATATTGAATGTCAGTTCAAATAACAGTTTGAGTGACATTCAAATTATGTCATTCAGCATATCAAATCTTTTAAATTTTACTAATATATGAAAAGCATATATGATTTACTTATGCAGATTTGCATTAAAAATTTTTTAATCAAATAAATATTAGTTTAAATTTTTTTGTATTTCTTATTAAATATTCTTTATTTTTTATATATTTTTAGATTAAAATAAAATACTGTATTTGTAATTAGATTATAAATTATAATTTTAATAAATATTATAAATTATAATTTTAATAAATATTATAAACTAATTATTTAAATAGTTGTTATTTTTATTGTGTAAAATTTTTTTATTAATTAATTTTTAAAATCTTTTTATAAATAAATTTTTTAATAATTAAATTTAAAATTTATAAAATATTATATTTTAATATATTACATACTCTATTTAATAGTATTTTTAGTGAAACTCATTCTAAGTTAGCTTCTTTAAATACTAATATTTTATCATTACAAAATATTTATCAATCTACTTTTATTGAAGAAGCAAATAATTTTGAATTTTCAGAACAGAATAATAATAAAATTAATAATTTTATTAGTAGTGAACTATTTTATAATATTGATAATATTATTTTTTCTTAAATTGAAATTAATAATTTTTATAAAATATTTAATCAAAAATCCGTGTCTTTTATTAGTGAAGTTGATAAAAAACAAAAAGCACTTACTGATCAAGATATTAATATATTTTGTAATAAATTTGACTCATTTGAATGTTGTTCAACTTTGCAATATACAAAAAATATTATTAATTGTAAAATTGCAATAAAAAAAATAGAAAAATATTTAAATGATGTCAAAAGATGAAAAAAATATGTTTTTATTAGGTATTCTTAATGTATTAGTTAGAAAAGAAACTACAAAAAATAATATTAACAAAAAATATTTAACAAATAAATATCAATTTGATGGAAATCATATTTGTTTAGAAGCTTTTTTATTAATATATGATGTTTTAAAATGGAAATGAAAATCAATTTGTAAACATTTTTTAAAAAATAATATTTTACTAATTACTTATCAACTTAAAGAAAAAATTAGTAATAACAAAATTTTATTTGAAATAATTATAAATAGTTTAATATTTATTTCAAATTATGCTAATATTTATAGACTTTCATCTCCTAGTATAGTATAAATTTTTTAAAAATTATTTAATTTTAATTATAATAATAATATTATTATTTTAGATCATCATTTTAATAAAAAAACAAAACCTATTATTTTTCTTTCAGCAACTGATAGTTATTTAGATTTATTTCATTTATATAATTTAATAATTTCAAATACTTCTAATATATTAATTAGTTCAACAAGTTTTATTAATATTTGGAAATTATATCTTCCAAGTATTAAATTTCTTTTACTTCGAAGTGATTTATGTATTAAATGCAAAACTATCTGATTTAATATTAGTCATATTTCAGAAGTACAATTAAAACAAATAATAAATAAATAGACAATTCATAATAATTAGACAAAACAAGAAAAGAATATTATAAATATATTAAAATATTATATTTATATTAAAATATTATATTTATATTATTTAATTATATTAATTTTTTTTTTAAATAATTTTAAATTTTTAGAAATTGTATTCTAAATTTCAAATTGGCTATATCTAATATTATTTAATTTTTATAACCTAATATTCCTAATAGTATTGATATTAAAAAGCATATTTCATAGAATTTTGTTGAAAATGTTCAATTATCTTATTCATCATAACAAGAAGTATATAAATTTTATTTTATTTTATTTAATATTTATAATAAATTTTTAATATTAATTAAATTTTTTAGGGAGCTAAATATTTTAAATATTATTATAAAGTTGCAGTATTTGGTATATGTAATAATGTTTTTCTACATCAAGTAATATTTATATAATATAATAATTAAAATATGAGATAATATCAATAGAAATAGGACAAATCTATCTAATAAATTTGTTCTATTTCTATTAATGTTATCCCATATATTATAAATAAATATAATTATAATATTTATTTTATATTATTTTAATTTAATATAATAAAATTTAAAATTTAATTAATAATTTATAAAACTTTATATTTATAGGTTAATTATTTAATTAAAAAAAAAGAAATGGTTGAAAAAGGAGCTGATACAGTTATTTCATTAGTACATTATTATTTTAAAAATTATAATATTGGAGAAAAACATTTAATTATACATGCTGATAATTGTGCTAGACAAAATAAAAATAATGCAATGATTAAATATTTAATCTGAAGAATAATGATAGGACTTCATACAACAATTACATATTCTTTTATAGTAGCTAGACATACAAAATTTTTATCAGATAGATTTTTTAGATTATTTAAATTAAAACTTCATAACTCAGAAGTTGATAATTTAGAAGATTTAGCACAAGTTGTTAGAAATTCAACATTTAATAATTATAATATACTACAATTAATTGTTAAAATAGAAAACATAAAGTTAAATTTTTTAATTGGACATTATTTTTAAATAATTATTTTGATGCAGTTCCTCAAATTTTAAAACAACATTATTTTTATTTTAATAATAATAATTTAGGTTATGTATTTATTAAAACAGCAATTAATGAACCTGAACAAAAAATTTATTTAGTTAAAAATAATCAAAATTTACTATCTATAAATTTTTTTCCTATTCAAAAATTTCTATTAGGATCATCAGCTGCAAGACAATGGTATTTTTATGAAGAAATAAGAACTTACATACAAAATTCTTTAAAAAAATATTATTTTTGTTTTTTATTACTAGTTTCAAAACCTAAAACTATTAAATAAAATACTTATATTATTTTTAAATTTTATTAATTATAAATAAATTTAATTGAACAACTTATTATATAATCTCAAAAAATAATTCAAGACAAATTAATAATTTATTTTTATTAAACTTTTTTATAGACAAATATAAAAAAATTTTAAAAAAAATATTAAAAAAAAAACTAAAAAAAACTTTTAATTATAAAATCTTAATTAGTTTCTTCTAGCAAATAGTAATCCTTTCTGAATTTTTAAAAAATTTAAAATGAACTACTAATTGCTAAAAGAACCTAAGAATCTTAAAAGAATCACCAAAAATTATTAGAAGAATTTCTAAAAACCATCAAAGAATGCTGACAATTACAAAAACCCAAAAAGAAATACCAAAAACACCTTTAAAAAATGCCAGAAGTATCAAGAATTCAGAAAGGAATCTAGAAAAAACCTTTATAATCATACAAAAAAAATGCCAAAAAATATTAGAACTACTAAAGATCTAGAAAGAAACACCAAAAAGCTGCTAAAAAACATCAGAAGTACTGAGAATTCAGAAAAAAACCTCTCCAAAAACTACCAAAAAAATATCGAAAGTATCAAGAATCCAGAAAGAGCCTCTAGAAGAAACTCTAAAAGTCACCAAAAAACTGGAAGCAGAAAGAAACATTCAAAAGTCATAAGAAGAAACTCCAAAAGCTGCCAAAAAAATTATCAGAAGTACTAAGAATCCAGAAAGAACCATCTAAAAGTTATTAGAAGAACCTCTAAAAGGCTGTTAAAAAATGCCAAAAGTATCAAGAATCCAGAAAAAAACACCAAAAAGTCATCAAAAGAATCTTTAAATAATACCAGAATTACCAGAAATCCAGAAAAAACCTCCAAAAAGCTATTAGAAGAACCTCTAAAAGCTATTAAAAGTACTAAGTATCCTGAATAAATACTAAAAAGTTATTAGAAGAACCTCCAAAAGTCACAAAAAAATGCTAAAAGTACTAAAAATCCAGAAAGAAACACCAAAAGGTTATCAGAAGAACTCCAAAAGCTATCAAAAAATGCTAATAATACCAAGAATTCAAAAAGAAACACCAAAAAGTTATCAGAAGAACCTCTAAATAATGCTAAAAATATCAAAAATTTAGAAAGAACCTCTAAAAAACTATCAAAAAAACCTTTAAAAGCTGTCAAAAGTACTAAGTATTCTGAATAATATCAAAAAGTTATTAAAATATTCTCCAATATTTGCCAAAAAATACCAAGAATTCAAAAACACTAAAAAGTCATTAGAAAAATCTTCAAAAGTTACCAAAAATACTAGAAGTATTAAGAATCTAGAAAAAAACATCAAAAGGTTATCAGAAGAATACTAAAATTACTAAGAATTCAGAAAGAAATACCAAAAAATTGTCAGAAAAACCTCTAAATAATGCTGAAAATATTATGAATCCAGAAAAAACCTCCAAATAATATCAGAAATACTAAAAATTCAGAAAGAACATCCAAAAAGTTGTCAGAAGAATCTCCAATATTTGGCAAAAAAATACTAAGAATCCAAAAACACTAAAAAGTTGTCAGAAGAACCTCCAAAAGTCACCAAAAAACATTGAAAGTATTAAGAATCCAGAAAGAAACACCAAAAGGTTAGCAGAGAAACTTCAAAAGCCACCAAAAAATGTCAGAAGTACCAAGAATCCAGAAAGAAACACCAAAAAGTCATTAGAAGAACCTCTAAATAATGCCAAAAATATCAAAAATTCAGAAAGAACCTTCAAAAAACCATTAGAAGAACCTTCAAAAGCTGTCAAAAGTACTAAGTATTCTGAATAAATATCAAAAAGTTATTAGAAGGGCCCTTAATATTCACCAAAAAAACATCAAGAATTCAGAAACACTAAAAAGTCATTAGAAGAATCTCTAAAAGTTACTAAAAAATGCTGAAAATACCAAGAATCCAGAAAAAAACACCAAAAGGTTATTAGAAGAACTTTAAAAGCCACTAAAAAATACTAGAAGTACCAAGAATCCAGAAAGACTTCCAAAAAGCCATTAGAAGAACCTTCAAAAGCTATTGGAAGTAACAAGTATCCTGAATAAATACCAAAAAGTTATCAGAAGAACCTTCAAAAGTTATCAAAAAATGCTGAAAATACCAAGAATTTAGAAAGAAACACCAAAAGGTCATCAGAATAACCTCCAAAAGCTATAAAAAAAAGTCAGAAGTACCAATAATCTAGAAATAATTACCAAACAGTTATTAGAAGAACTTCCAAAAATGTCAGAAGTACCAAAAATTCGGAAATAATCTTGAGAAAAAACTTTAAGATCTAAAATTTATCACAAAATATAGTAAATACCAATAATCCAAAAAAAAATACCAAAAAGTCATCTAAAGCCACCAAAAAATGTCAAAAGTATAAGAATTTAAAAAAACATCTAAAATTTACAAAGAGTGCTAGAAGTACCAAGAACCTAGAAAGAGTCTCCAAAAATCATCAAAAGAACTTTTAGAAACCACCAGAAGCATCCAAGAAGCTTTAAAAATCATCAGAAGAACCTCCAAAAGAAACTAAATATCACCAAAAAAACCCAAAAAGAACTACTACAGAATGACAAAAACCTTATTATTAAATGAATAAAACTATATTAAAAAAGAAACTACTTTAAAAATGAAAACAAAAAACATCATTATAAAGCAATAACCTAAAAAAATAAGAAACCATAAAGAAACTACTATTGAAAGTGAAAGATGTCACTACTTAAAATTAATTAAAAAATCATGTTACTTTTAAAAAAATTATGT